GACGTAGGCAAACAAATCTGACTAACCCGGTGTTAGGGACAGGGCAAAAGGTAATAGTATAATCTGCATTTTGACACGTAAACGTACTCGTCTTATCGTCATACGCGTAGCTATACGCGCGTGGGCAAGCAGTCTTGAACACCTGCGAGTAAGAAGAAGGCTTGCAAGTATCCGGAGTAGAATACGCGCCACTGCAACAATACTGCGGCGACCCAAACGCCTCACACGCGCTCATACACGCGACAACACCCTCATTCTCATCCACGCCCATAACCTTTAGCTCTGAAGGACACGCGCCATTCAAATCCCCAATACAACCCGTACTACTACATTTACCAGCAGAAGAACCACCATTTGGGACCACCAACATAGCAACGTTGTAACCGTCGACCAAACTAACGTCAAAAAAGTCAAGTCCGCCGGCACCGTCTAACGTGAACTCGGCTAAGGTTGTCGGCGGCGTGGCTCCATTGCCGGAACATTGGATTTTTCCGGAGCCGCAATCGCCTGTGACGCAGGAGAATATTCCTGTGGTGGAGTCTTGGGAGCAATGGGTTCGGCCCCAGAAACGGCCTCCCCAAGAGGTTGGAGCGGTTATGGTAGTTGATTCACCGGTTTGAAGAACGAAGCCAGTTGTTGAAAGAGGTGGTACTCCTGCGTTTGAAAGAATTCCTGGCCACACTGTGTATTCACATTTGTTAACCATAGTAAACGTTGTGGAAATTACCCCTGCGAAAAAATTACACTTACAATTATGTTATGTTGTATTTATCGCAATTGTAAGATAATGTAATAAGCAATGATTTTCATAATATTTTAAACACCTATTGATAGGTACATTACCTACTACTGATAGATGAAGTGTTAATAAGAATGGAAATAATAGTGTTATGTAATTCATAATATGGTGACTCTATTTGTGTAGTATATGTAGGATAAGAATGAGGGATGTGAGGAGAAGAAGGAGGAGGAGCTGAAATGGAAAAGCAGCTATAGATCCAAGTTCTTCTTCTAATGGAGTAGAAGGTGTTATTATGAAAATAGAAAGAGTAGGGAGGGGTTTTGGGGTATTTATAGACCGAAAAGTATTACTGAACGGAAAGGAAATGGAATATTTTATGCTTTCATAATTGGCCCAGTTGGTACTTCTCGCCTTCTGAACAAGGATTTATCGCCCCAAATTATGTTTTAAATCATCTTTCGGATTAATGAAAACATTAATGTTAATTAAATTTTTTATAATATTCATTATTTTTTCATTCAATATCATTGTGTAGTACATGATTTGGGACACAGTTTGATATAACAGATTTTGGTCGTTTTTCCCTTCCTAGTTTCTTCTCACTTGGGAGGAGAAATACTTTTGATGTGACAAATAAAATTTATATTTCTCCTCATCTTCTCTTATCTCATTCTTATACACTTTTTTCCCCTATCTACCAAGGCTAAGAGTGTAATATATGATTTTTTTCCAGTATATGATGATTAAATATAAATAATATGGTTATAATGTAAAAAATTCTTATATTATCGACAACTATACTTTTTCTCGTAAATTATTGTGTATTGATAAAATTGTGATTGATGATGTGATAATGTTACCATACAAAAGACATAATATTAACCATAATTTATATTAATAAGGGAACTAATCATAAAAGATAAAATAAACTAATCTCAATTTTAAAAGATTTTATAGGATACTCTAAACTAAATAATCACCATAATATAAAACGTTTTCTCTATATCATTTAAATAATATCTACAATATAATTTAAGAAACATTTCATATATTGAAAGAGTTGAAATTCTCATCCAGTACTAAAATATGAAGTCCAAATTGCTTTAACGATTAAAAAAATTATTTTAATTGAAAATAACTTTAAATCGTTGGGTGCCGTATTCATATTCAAATACTTCTTTTCTTTCTTCATTTAATCTTTTTTTTATGATTTGAAGGTCACCCCATATATTCTAGAGCTTCACATATATTTTTATTCAATAAGAAGGATAATGGTGCCCATTACAAATAAACAAGAAAACTTACACGTGGATAAAAAATATAAAATATAAGATTCATACATTGGAGAAAGACAGATTCCTACCAACAATAAGAGTATAAAATTCAGACATGGTAAGAAAATCCAAACTTCAGCATTTGCTTAATTTTGACCATGCACCCATATGCCAATGAATAGGGATCTTCTCCATTAATGGAGAAACAAATGAGATATAAAACAATATAAAATAAAAAATGAAAAGATAATTCAATCATTTTATTATACTTATAATGACTTTTTTGTCCTTAAAACCAAGTATAATAAACTCATTCGCCTCTCCATTAACGGAGAGGATCCCTACTCGATCCTAATAGGGATGTCAAAGCCAGATTGTACCTATGAGACATGGTGCATAGGCCCTCCACGAATGAGATAGTAGACAATAAACAAGATTGATAAAAGTCAATACACTTTGGCCTTGCTTTTAAAGTAACCAAGTATATATAATTGTTTTCCTCTTTAACACAATAGTATATGGGTGGAATTGGCAAAGAAATTTTTTTTACTGGGTAAAAAGTTGTGATGTATAATGTATTTATGTTTTAGATGAAAGTGTGGCTGCTACAAAAATTTTGCTGTTAAGGCTAGACATTAACTTTAATGGTGCCCATAGAACGTAGATGATAATGTCTAAAGGAAAAGCTAAAATAATTGAAATTGAATTTTGTCAAGTGTGGCTTCCTAGTCACTACTTGCTAGTTACTAGTAGCTAGCAGCCTTTCCTTGGTAGAGATTAGAGATACCGAATGGATAAAAAGTGAGTCTTATTTGGCAACCTTTTCAACTTTGACACGTTTTGCACCATATATATCTTAAAATATTTCATGTTTAGTGTCAAATTTGTAGACATGAATTCTTAACCTATTTTGACTATTTCATGTTCCATTTACTCTATTTATTACATATCTATTGGTCTGCCTGGTGAGTTGCTGGGTCTGCTGTTGTTGAAGTTAGCTTCAATTCCTAATTTCTGATTGGAAAAATTCGTGCCATTCTTGAACTGCTACAGTATTAAGATGAAATTGAGATTTTCTGGTAGGAATTAGGTTTTTTTTAAGGGAAAAGGTGGCGGCCGGAACACCTGAATTTATTAAATAATTAGCAAATTACAAAAGAGCCAAGAGCAGATTATAAGTGCTTGAATCTATAATTAGGTAAGGACAATCTATTCTTACATAATTCGGCAGAAAGAAATGTAGGGATAGAGTCCCACCTCGAGTCTACATCTGATTTTATCCCAAATGCTGTCAGCCTATCTATACAAGTATTTCCCTCCCTGAAAATAGGTGAAACTCTAAACTCCATATATGAGATTAGAGCATTAGGTTATTTGCTTGAAAGTTAGTCACAGTGGAAAACAAGTAAAATCATGTAGGTTTTGTGTGCATAATAAAACTATTACACTATATCCTACCAACTATTTTCTTTTATTTATCTTTTACTTTTGTGTGCATAATAAAATGGCAAAAGTTGGTTTGTGAAATTTTGTCATGTAATGACCATATCGAATTAAAGAGATAACAATAAGCAATCATCCAACTCTCCACATGCTTCCAATATTGGAGATCACATCAATATGATGCAAAAAACATGGAGGCCAGTTTAATATTATCCCTGTCTAGGATTATAGTATTTGTTGACCAGCAAGCTTTTGTAGCTTCCATTTGTGACAAATTATTCACTGTCCTAAGTCCAATATAAACCTTATCTGCTAGCCTTAGCTACTTGCATTGCAACTAGTATGATTTGAAATGGAATGAGAAACATCACCAGCATGACATGGAATAGAATATTGGGTCAAAGTTAATCACCTAATATGGAGTCTTAGCAGCATGGAGTGAGAGTGCACTTCTTTCACATAGACCATGCATTTCTTGATAGTGAGAGGTTGCCAATATAGCTTGACAAAAAATTATAAATGATCTATAACAAATCTTGATTACAACTCTACTGATAAAGCTCTATAATCTATACAAAAACAAGACCTATAATAACTATAATATATTTAAGTATTAAAGAAAAATGAATATTCATGGTTCGAAAATATCTGATGGTTCAAGTGGGCATGCCCCTAAAAAGATTCACACAGTAGGTTTGAGGGCAACCAACCAACCACCATATGGCCAAAAGAATAACAGAATCATGCTCAGTAGAAATCTTAGCTAGGAAGTCTTTTATCCAAAGCCAAACAAAGCATAATATAAATTCGAAAGTACCCATAGCTCCAAATAAATTAACAGAAATGGCTCCAAGATGGAGGGCAAAACCAAGGATCAAACATCTAGGAAGAAAACACAACCTCGACATGCTTGTCTACCCCATGCTTTATAGATTCATCCACATTATTACACTTGAAATTGTAGTTTCAGCATAGGGATGTGTTTGATATAATTACGACTATCTTATTATAACTGCAGTAGTTTCTGTAATCACATGGCAACCATTATTATGGTTGCTTAAGTCATATTTTTTCACTACTATTTACAGTTTATTTTATCATAACTACAAAGTTAAAATGATGATTCAATTAAATAGTTATATCAAGTTGGTTCGGTCCCTGAGCCTAAGTAAGCCAAAACCCCAAAGAACTCCTTGTTTATAATTACTATGAACGTTCGTTCATTTATAAAGTTCCAAGAAGGGTTTTGTATTTCCAATTTTCAAAGCTAAGTTAGGCGAAAAGTGGAAGACCAATTGCAAAGGTGAAGGATCACAAATTTTTTAGAAAAAGATATGCATGAATAAGTCTGATTGTATTTAAATTTGATTGAGTGTACAAGAGGCACGACTCGAGAAACCAAGAAGTGTTAATAAATTGATAGAATAGAGTTTCGCAAAACTCAAGTACCACACCGCGTGGAACAAATAGGAGAACTGAAGTGACTCCTATAAATGCACTAGAATAACTTGAATAATATCATGATCCTTCAGGCAGATAACGGGATATGATGAGTGGTTGAAACTCGCAATAAAAAATGCGAGTTGGGTGTTCGCCCAAGCCTGGTTACGACAACTGGGCACTCTCCCTTTATTCCAATCTGATCCCTAGTCTTGAAGGCCCAAAATCATTCCATATTATGATTATATATTTACATTTTTACTTTTAGTTTTTTATTTTTAACCTATAGTTTTATTATTTTTAAAAGATTTAAATCCTTTTCATAATTAAAATTCCCGGATTTGAGTGCAACTTTTTCTTGTATACAATTTTCTATCCTAGGTTTTATTTATTGCATAAAATAAAAATAAGAACGAATACAAAGCAAAAGTGAATTGGAAGAATTTAGGGATGAGAGATAAAATACTCGTTAGTTATAGGGAGAAAGTAAAGAAAAATATAAAATTATATTGGGAGAAAAAAAGAAAAATATTATAATGCGAAGTTTCTAATTCATTTATCAAGTCACTGTCAAAGTTGGTTTCTGCACTGAGCAATATAGATAGATGAATGGAATTTATTCAAAAGATTTTACAAGTAATGTTTATACATTCTATCCTGCTGTCATATACAAAAGCAACTTGAAAAGCAAACTATTAAACATTAGTTGTCTGTTGTATATATCCATTATGATAGTTGAAATCTAGAAAGAATTGAAGTGTTAATTATTGGAGGTAAGAATTTGTTCATGTGATTCTATAAGAACAGCTCAACAGAAAAACAGTCATGGAGATAGTTTTTTCAGTTGAGCTTTTCTTAGGACCTTAAGCATAACAATTGAACATCTTTATTTACTTAATATATAGGATTCATGATATCTATGAATCAATATTTATTTTCTTAATCATAATTTATTATCTTAAACCATCCATAGTATCCAAAACATTTGAGTTGTGGTGCTCCATGTCCATTCTTGTAACAGGTAAATTCCCATCAGTCTTGCTAGAATCCCAGTCTCTAGCTTCGTTTTTCTTGATTATTGGAAGATACCCATTTTTTTCACATTCTGTTGTCTTTGTCCTTGCAACCACTTCCTCCAATAAACTCTTATCCTGTTGAACAGGTTGAGTTTCCATATGGTCTAAGGATATAGTTTGTAGCATCTTTGACTTAAAATGAAGTCCCTTTTTGGGAGACCTTCTACTATGTTTTGGCTTCATGGGATTATCAATATTGCGTCTGTACATTACAAAACTAACCAAACGGTGAAGCTGTATCAACAATTCAAGGATGTAAAAATCTATCTTCTGCTTCTCAACATAATGAAGTGTCTTCAGCCGAATAGGGTTACTTTCTTTGGTGCTGTTGTAGCCAAAGGCATTACTACAAACCAGAAGAAAAAATTATCACAAACTCTCCTCCTAGCTTGAGTAGTCAAAGAGATTAATATTTCTGTTGAAAACGCTTTTAGCATCTTACTTTCTTTAAGGGATAGAATTAAAGTTTGAGTGAAAAATAAGTTGAATGTGTTATTTAAGCCATAAAGCTCACTTTTAAGTTGGGCTTTCATGACTTTAAGTCACACAAAAAAAAGTGCAACTGTGCAAGATGCGTGGTAATATGTAATTGTTTATGTTAATTAATTTCATAACTAACCTTCTCTTTGCCCATTCGCCAACCCATCCAAAACCTTGATGTGCCCTATCAGATTTATGAATTGAAAAGAAAAGAAGAAAAAATAAGTAATATAAGCAAGCATAAACATAATTATAAAGTATAATATAAATGCTTGCACAAATGTAGAGCATCCTTAAGCCACTCACATAAGTAATTACAATATATTTTTTATTTGAATAGAGAATACAACCAGTGGGTATAAAACCTACGACCTGGGTGTTGAAATACTAGCGCCCAACCACTACAACAACTAGTCAACTACTAGAAATTTCGATAGATAATAATTTTATAATAAGTAATCATTAAGTATCTATAGTATTTAACTATTAATTAACTATATATTTGGTTTAGTGCACCCAACTTGACTACTATACTATAGGTTTATGCAATAATTTTCTGCACCAAAAGCACCTACTAATTTCTCTAAGTAAAAGAGGACTTCCATTCAAACATTCTCTATATCTTACTTGGTCGTATTAGTGGCAAAAGGAGCAAGCCAATGGAGAGTCTTATCTATTTCATCTTTGAGTCTTTTGACTTGAGCCAAGGAAAGCTACAGAACAATTCAAGTTAGCACATTCTATCAGGAAATAAGACTCCAATTTTCAATTAGGTGAGACCAGTATAATAGGGAATACCTCTTTTGTTACATCAATGTTTTGCAACCTAGATGGAAGAGCACTCTTAATATTATTTGGTAATCGACGATATAATGTGTCCCTTATATTTGGAGGAAGACTCGTTGGACGAGATGCCTGATAAAAAAGTTTTACTTAAATATGTTTTAATCCTTGAAAGTTGACTCGATTTTGATTTTAATCCATAAATTTTTATTAGACCAGACATTATCTTTAAATGTTCCAAAAGACAGCAATTAGTAGGATGCAATCATCACTACCAATTATATTAGCATGATACAAACTTACAATGATATTTATCTGATGGATGATGTTAGCATAGTACAGTGCAAGACCTGCTTCACCTAGTCTTTGAGAACCCTTGTTTTTCTCAGGTTGCAGTTGTACTTGCCAAGAAATCCAAAGTTTCATAAAAAATTAGAAAATCATAATCAGAAACACCTATTTCCCCCCCTACAAATCAAAGTTTGCACATGCATGACCAGAATACAAACAACAAAAATGATTTAGGAATTCATGTAATGGTCTTACAGATTTCCCTAATGCTTAATCATTATGCCAAACCAAACAGCAAAAAATATTTTAGAGGAAGAACATCATAAAATTACAAAATATGATCTCTCTCATAGAGCTGATTACTTATAGGTTATAGCATTGAATAATTTTTTCTTGAAAAAGTTTTTATTTTTTTTACTGTTGGAGTGGCATTCTTGTAAAAATTTAGCATAAGGGGATGCATATATATGCCTTAAATATATTAGAGATGTAGCAATTGGTTTTAATTCATAAATATGATCTCATACCAAAATTCCCAAGCAACTCAGAAATTGCTTGATGTATATTAATAACAATATCAACCAGCTTTTCAACTATCTGCAATAAGAAAATCAATCAGGATAAGTCCTTTGTTGCAAAATCCGCAGAAATAATATCCACAACTTCTCCACTCAAAAGTAGATTTAGATTCATAATCATATACCTCCTCCAAACTTCTATACCATAGGGACTTCTTTTTCAAGGTGTTCACAAGATTTCTTTGATGCTTTAGCTCACTAAGAAAAACTGTGAGAGTCTCCCCTACAATTATAGAGAGCTAAATCTGTCAATAATCAGAAAATTACTGCAGATATAGTTCACAAATATGTATGCATGTGTTTATATAAAAATAATGATCAAATCTGATAATCTGAACTATTTATATCTAATAATGAGAAATTGAATATATTATAGCCATAAAAAAGGCTTTTTTTTCCCTGATAACAGTGGATACAACATAGTCCAAACTAATAATTTTAGCATATAGCACATGATAAAAAAAATATTCATTAGAATAGAAAGAAATTTCTGAGAGAAAACTAAATTTTGAAGTTACCGACCATTTAAAGGAAGTTTTGAGGACTCCATTTCCTTAACCTTATGCTGATAATCTTGATCAAAACGGTCAAAGGCATTTAATTCATGGTATAATGCCTACAAAGAAAAAAGTGCAATAGCTATTTAAATAGTTAGCGTAACAAATTTCAAGAGTAATGCCTAACTTAACCAGTACATAGCTCAAAATGGATATCAGATGTGTGAAATACTAACAATACAAACAACAAGTTATAGATTAAACGCAAATATGAATGCATTTGTCTTGAAGCTAGTCCAATTCCTAGAGAAAGAGGAAGAATAAGAAAAATCACATGAGAATGATAAAGAAATATTTTTAGAACTCAATGTTTTGTTAACAAACATGATTTATGATAGAGTATTATGACGTCGTTCGATCCATTTAACAAACCCCATCTAGTAGGATAAAAGTTTGGTTGATATTGTTTTCTGGTATGCCACAAAATACATATGTGTAACATTGAAAGATATAAGAAACAAAAATCCCTTTGCTATTTTCTCAGTCATCAATCTGATAAGGAGATAAATCACAGAAGCAATATTTTCTTACAGCAGTATTCTTAGCTAGAGTGGTCAACTCCTGCACAGTCTTTTCAGCCTCTACTATACTAGGTTGCTTCTTGTCCAAGGCATCGGAATCTAATCTGAAAATGTGTTTTGGAAGAAAAAAACATAATCTTACATGTTTGTTATGATTCAATCATGATGGATTAGCAATATCTTATCATAAGTCAGCATGCAAAAGCAGACAAACTCACCCTGAGAAATACTGGTCTAGGTTATGCCACTGAGAGTGTTTAGACATATTTCCAAACCTAGCTACTTCTCTGTGGAAGGCATTGAATTCTTCCCTTCAAATCCTCCAAAGTTAAGAGATAAAGAACATTAGAAAAACAAATATACAAATCTAAAGAGATTTAAAAGCTCCATGAAAAAATCCATGAACAGGCAAGAACCTTTTGTCAGCCTCAATAAAACTTACTAACTCCTTTGTATTAGTAGAAACTAGTTGCATTCCTTCTGAATGTAAAATCTCCCATTTAAGGAACTTAATGTTTTCTTCAGAAAGTGATTGGAACAAAATTGCACCTTTGTTTATTGTATTAGCTACTTCAAATGCCAATATAGATATTTTATTCCTTCTAGGAGCCATGCCAGAGACAAAACCATTGGTGGTGTTTAATTTTGATATGCTACTTCCAATTGTGTCTAAAACTTCTACTGATTTCTCACCAGCTCTTCCATGCAAGGAACTAGGCTGGGAAACCTATGAAAAACATGAAGATACATCATAAATGGAAAAGTGAATTGTGAAGATTTGTACTCAAATAAATAAAAGAAGCAACTAGTAATTGATTTTGTTCTGCTTTATATAATATACAGCAAAAGTAAATTGCACTCATAGGGAATCACTTGTTTATATTAGGAAAATGAATAGTTAACTGCTTGGATAAAGTAAGA